GTGTGTGTGTTTTGTGTGTGTGAGACGAGCTGATCACCCGCCCAAAGAGTCCTACCGAATGTCTGAGATCTAGTAAAGGGAAAAGAAACGGAGAGTTTCATGGAGGTCGGCCAAGGCCCAAATTGGGGCTGTAGCGTCAAAGGAATATACGTGTATATATGGACTGGATTCATTTGGCACACGGTATGCCCAGTTTCGGATTCTTGTGAATATTTTCGTGGTTCATGAAAGACGGATATTTCTTGACCAGCTGAATTACCGTCAGTTTTTCAAGAAGGATTTTGCTTCATGCAGTCATGGGAAAATAAAACCATGAGAAGGTACTGCAGATTGTTGTCTAATGGAGTATGATGCATGTAATCTAGGAGAATGTTACCAGATTTTTGGAAGAATTTGCTGTTTCCATCTTCAGGGTTGTACCACAATACACAGCGTCACATCACAGAAACAGCAGTCACCATAGTCACCACCGTGAGGACCTATCTCACGGAGAGAAAACTATTTTCAAATTAACCTTCAATAATTTATGAATTAGACATTAAAATAACGTCATAGCTAAAGTTTTTAGTCACGCGCTTCCCGGCTGCTCCGGCACGATCACTGGTGAGGTCATTTGGGATTTATGGTGGACAAAGAGATATTGGGACAGGTTGTCTTTGAGTACCTCGGCTTCCTCTCCCCTTTCTTATTTCATCGACTTCTCCGTAATCATTCATCAACTTAGCATCGGCGCTATTTAGTCTCGTTACTGACAGCTTTGTTATACAGTTAAAAAAATAAGTAAAGCTATCCCTGTACCAGGCCATGAAGGCCCATAGGGTTGTGAGACGTTAGGGGTCCCACATTATCTAGACAGTCGGCTCAAAGATGGAGGTAAGGTTGTCAGCCTTACGCACCGGCCGCGCTTTACTCCCCAGGAAAATTATTTAATTCATTCCTGGTACTCATTTCTGTTAGAGGCTGAGTCCACTCCAGGGCCATAGTGCGGTTGGAAGGATTAGGTCAATTGAAAAAAATGCAATGATCTCATCGGTACTTGAACCCGCGACCTTCCGGCTTGTAGCATAGTGCCTCAACCAACTACGCTACCGCGTGCTCCCCAGCTTCGTTATACAACAAGCTTAAAAACAAATAAAAAACTATGTAAAATCCTAGGTTAGTGTAACGGTAAATCTGTAGGTTCTTGGTTAGAGACTCAGCCGAAACACTGGCTAGCCTGACAGATTTTTTTTTTTACTCAATGCCTCCAGAGAAACAGCGGACTACTACCTCGATTAGGCACAACCACTTCGTTCCAAATCCTTTCCAGTTCATTCTTCATCAGCCATCCTATAATTTTACTCTATGCGGTCTGGATACTGAAGCCTAAAATGTGACCCTTTCCCAAAATAGAGCAGCTAAAGACGGACTTGTTCCTTGACAGGTACCTGGAACTGCAGTCAAGCGGCCGTAAGGATGAGATCAGGTTTCATTACAAAGTACAGCAAGAAGTGACAGCGAAGATGGAGACCTTTCCTTTCCGCCTGGCAGACAATGAGTGGCACAAAGTAGCGGTGTCGGTGAGTGGAGCCCAAGTGGAGCTGCTGGTAGACTGTCATCCGCTCTATCGGAGGATAATTCGGCCGCTGGACCGGAACTTCACAGTACCGCAGTTAGGGCTCTGGGTCGGTCAACGCAGCAGAGGGCACTCCTACTTCAAGGTGAGTTTCCAACAGAAAAAGCTCCCATTAGTTGGATTTTCTGGTTCCAGCTTACGCACGAGATATGACAGGAAAATCGGTCTATTTCGCATGGTCATTAGGTAGGAAGTTGGAGGTACATACAGTTTTCAGCAGTGTCATCTATACTCATCTCTAGTAAACAACGGAAACGGAGCACATTTGGCATGTAAACTCATTGCTAGGCAACGACTCGGTAAACATCCGCGTAAATCGTACGATTACAACAGAAGGACGTATATTGATGGATAACAGACAAGTAAACATGGTTCCTTAACGATGAAAGATGTATTTTCTGTGTGGTCAGTGCCGAGAGGTTTTAAAAGGACACAGAAGATATGAACAAATAGTAGGAGTAGTAGAAGTAGCAGGACTAGAAAACAGTAGTTGAGTTGAAACTGAAGAGTCGAAGTTCAGGACGCCAGCCTGTCGGGATATGAGCTTGAAATTGAACTGAATTGGGAACTGCAGAATAATGGCAAGAAATTGAGTACTGCATGACAAGAAGAGTCCAACCAAGGCGTAGGTGAGTGGACAATATTAAAATGGATCTTAGAGAGATAGGATCGGATTGATCTGGCCCAGGATAGGGACCAGTGGAGGGCGCTTGTGAACGCGGTAATGAACCTTCGGGTTGCATAAAATGCAGAGAAATTCTTGAGTAGCTGCAGATTTGGCTTCTTCTCAAGAAGGGCTCAGCTCCATAAGTAAGTAAGTATGACAAGAAGACTCCATGTGTGATTTGAAGTTATAGTGAGACTCTTATAAATCCGTTGCCAAGATATGACTAGTGAAGACTGAGAAACCTAGTGCGTGTGTAACGGTGAACTGGAAATTGTGTATAATAGCGATAGTACTTTATCACCTATAGTCTCGAGATGTTAATGAATCCGATCATGCAGTCCGAAACCCCGTCTTATAAGTCACCCCTACACGCGTGACGCTGTTTCTTCATTTAATAAAAGAGAAGCACTCAAATGTAGGTACAGTACGGTCGCATTTTGTGCGAGGGATGCGTTCTTCAAGAATTTGCATAATTCAAGAGAATTTTTAAAACATATATGTTCTTGAAGAAAGCAGTCTTCTGGGATGTGACACCGTATAGATGTGGTATTAACCGACGTTTCGGAGGAATTTATCGCCTAGAACTTCAGAATAGAAGGAAAAATAAGAAAATCCGCAAGCGAAGCGACCGTGAGAACCGGTACAAGCAGACAGGTGTCTGCACCTGAGGCTGAGGAGTACCACGGCTGGTACTCTGGCCGAGATTAGAACCAAACACCACCCGAATACGAGTAAAGAGTTTTCCCGCTGTGCCAACCCACCTGCTGTTGTTAAGTTCATAAATAGATAATATAAATATGTGATCTTACAACAAAACTCAATTGAGCTCATGGATTAGCGTGCTGTATTCATATATGTGAGCAGATCGGGGTTTGTGTGCTGTACGTGTGAGCATATGACCGTATATTGCAATCGAGTGGGGTCGGATTTAATTGTATTGCTAGCACCTGTAAAGAAGCTCGTTACACATTATTATTATTATTATTATTATTATTA